AAAATTATATCAATCGAATGTTATAAACTCTTGTAGATCAGCAAGATAAAGATGATTCATGGTTATGCGATTGGTTTTTGTTTTCATCTACAAAATTTTAACAAAATTTGTATTTTCTATATTTAAATTTTCAATACTTAATACCCTTGAGTTTCAAAAAAAACATTAATCATTAAAGTCTAGAATTCAAGTTGCAAACCAAATAAATGGTTCTGTATCATTTATCCCATTCATTGAATCCAGCCAGGTAGATATCAAGTATCAATTATATTCTAATATATAATTCCTAGCATTTTGGGATCGCTAGTAACAAAGTATAATAGACATGTTTGATACCATCTATGCATCAGATCTCTATTGCTTAGGTGACCTTTATCATAACAAATTTTCAATCAAATCATCCAGTTTGAAGAAGTTGTGTAATCAGCCTATAACTTTATACATATTGCGAATACACCTCGACCATCAAAAGATAACACTAGCGATTATGTGACATTTATCCCACTAGCATATACACATGACGTACGAGTGCAATTCAAATAAGATTGCATAGATTTGAGTTTAATAAGGGGACTTTGATGTTTTTATAATTCTAGTTTGAAAAACATATGATACAATGATTATTGCATGCATCCAATAAGCCAAATTATATTTTTATTTAAAATCACATTTTAACAATGTTATATTATAAAATCCAAATTTTATATAATTGACACAATCAAATTTTAAATTTAATATCTACTATTAAGTTTGGACTTTTGAGTGCTAAATAACATTTATTAACCTTTTAATAAACCCTCATTTTATAAAATAAGGTTTGCAGTTTGATAAATCTCTAAAATCTAAATTTTAACTTATATAATTTTAATCGTGAAATTTACCATTAGCTAATTTTAAACGATAAAACTCATTTTTTTTTTAAAAACTTTTTACCATATTATGTTAAAAGATAAATTTCATTAAAACCAAACTCCTTGTGATGTTATTTATGTTCAAAATATTATTTTGCATGTGAAATCTAATTCAACAGTTATAACATAATATCAACATAAATATAAACAACACAAGCATGCAAAAACATAATTGCATAAACCAACCATAAACTAGTAACAAATTGTGAGCCATCACAAAAATGTTAAGTTCATTCCTAAACGACATAAAAGATCAAAAAAAAATTAATGTCTTCATGCTCCAACGTGCTTCAACACCTTGTAAGAAGATCATATGAATAAATAAATATTACAACCATTTTAACAAATCAACACAATCAACATCACAAGAGGTCCATGACTAGTTTATATATATATATATATATATATATATATGTATGTATGTGTGTGTGTGTTCTAACTATATCTATTGTACGAATATAAGATTGATTGTGGACCTATCAAAATTTTAAAAATAATTAATTATTTATTTATTTATTTAAAGTTAAATAGTAATCTTTACTGTATTTAACTTTACTAAATATTGAAATTATTTAATGCCTCCTTTAAATAATGGAAATTACTTTAAAACCCTAGATATCACCATGTACATGGCCTCTTCCTCCAACTCCTCCTCTTTCCTTGCATCAGCTCTCCCGTTCAACAATAATATAGCCGTTGTCCACCTCCGAACTCTCTTTGGTATATCACCAATCCATCTCCGATCTTCGGTATATCTTACTCAATTTGGCCGGCTTGAAAAATTGGGTCTGCAACCTAGTTTGAGAAAGAAATCCAAGAGAAAGGTTAGAGGGCATATATACTTCTCATAATTTCATTAAATCAAAATACGTAACCCCTTTATATATGCTCATCTCACGATTCATAAAGTTTTATATCCCAGTTTATTCTGTTGACAATTGGTAATTTTAAATGTTACACAATTTCTTTGATTATTTCAATTTTTATGAGTTTTGAATTTCTCAACAAGGATCAAATATTTGTTACTTTTTAGGTAGTTTGAATCAATATTTTGCTCTTATATTAAAACTGAATGACTTTATTAATAATCATAAAAGTTTTATATTTTGCGAATTGCAAATTAGCGATTTACGTACATTGTCAATGTTAATTTTGAGTTAATCGTCATTGGATTTTTTGCACTGTTGAAGAGGACATTGTTAATGGCTTCCCATACAACATTCCAAAATTATCGACACTGTGCACTAGATTTTTTGGTTTTTGAAGATAGAATTCTCAAGTTTTAACTTCTACTTGCTTTTATGCGATCCACAAAATAGTTAAACATGAAGTGGTGACCACCTTTAAGCTAAGGTCTATTTTATCTATTTATAATTACCAAAAACTAGCATAGCTTTGCTTGCATTGTTTGAACCAAATACCTATAAGTTTATAAAAGATATAAACAAAATTATTTGATATTTGTTTACCAATTGACCTTTTTAAATCCATGGGGGCAATTTTTGTTTGGTCTCAGCTGCACCACCACTGTAAATATTATATATAACTTCAATAGTGTGTAACATTAATTTGATTGTTTTTACTTGAACTTTTGCATGTTATTATAAGAATTAAGACAACATCTTTTCATTGAATCGTTTATTGTTGTTGATTTGGTGTGGAAGCATTTTCCGAATAAACATGTTAATTTGTATTTTTTTCAGAAAATTGAGACTCGAGACTACTTAGAATGCAACAAGGTTGCTTGGAACAACAATAGTGAGAGGAAATTAAAAGATAATTTAATGACAATTGAGATTCATAGCACCAACATGTCAAACTATAACAGGAGGTACAATGCATAAAACAAGAAATAGAATGAAAAATCTTTTAAGAATGACATTGTATTCTTATAGAATGAAGATTCTTTCAAGAATAAATTACTATAAAGAATTTTATTCTTATAGAATGTGACAAAAATTTCAAGAATGATGTGTTTTTATAGAATGTGATTGAAAATTTGTTTTTTTTGGACCATAGATTCTTGAATAATATTAATAATAGATGATTATTCTTTAAGAATGTTGTTATTCTTCAACTCATGGATCAAAAACTTGATATTCTTCAATAGGTTCATTTAATAAGAATATACATTTTTTAACATCCTACTTTTGAGGTAATTCCAAATTTTAACCCTAAGTAAAATGATTTTGCTATTGGCCCTTATGCGTGTGCGATGTTGCAAAAAGGCCCATAGTGACATTTTTTGTAAATAATGGGGTGTGGGCATGTACGTTGGGCATACTCTTAGTACGCAAGGTGTACGTGGTGTGATCCCAAACCTTAATTTTTAGGGTTTAGACCCTATTTAACCAACTTTATGGCCTACAAACCTCATCTCTCATCAGCCTCCAACACCTCCATATAATCTTAGCAAAGCCTAACTACTTGTTTGAGCATTCTTGACCCTTGTGCATATTTTTGGTGGTCTTGAAAGAGAAAGAAGGAAGTAGAACCACCTTGGAAGCTTGAAGGGGCTTTGGATATGGGATCTCCACCTATCTATCACCCTCCAAGAGGTATAAAGCTTTAAACTTGGCTTGTAATTCATTAGATCTTGCTAAGTTCTTTGATTCATGAGCATTTTGGTCCTAAGTCTTGACCTTTTTAAGTATGGCTTGATCCATCCCATTTTAACAGTCCTTTCAAGCATTGTCGGAAGTTTAGAAGCATAGAAATAGGGTATTGGTTCTTAATCCTTCGAAATGCATGTGCTTGGTTTTCTTAATGGGTTAAGAGGTTGGGGTTTCTAGAATTTAGCACTTATTGGCCTTGCAGGACCATAAAGTTGGAAACTTTATGGTCAAGAACGATATTTGGGAATTGGATCTGCAATTTAGTCGTAAAAGCTTAAGTATTAAGCATTTATTGTGTTCAGAAGAAGTTCAGTTGCGTACGCTGGGTGTACTAATTGGTACGTTGTGCGCATGCGGTCAAACCCCCGTCCTTGGGCAACTACCGAGTACGCCCCACGTACTGCTGAGTATGCCCAACATACTCAGTTGGACTGACTCGGTTGGGTTGACTCGTCTGAGTTTTTGACTTTGACCCTTGACCAATGTCAACCTAGGGGTGATTTGAATATTTTGGGCCTTAGGATTGTTAACTAAGCTTAAGTCCCAGTCCTATTTAGGTGATCGGTAGTGCTGACTTTTGGAGCTGCGTTCTGTTCAACATTCATTTCGGACTAAGAGGTGAGTTTTTCTCACTATACTTATGGGTCGAATGCACAAAGTCCAGCCTATTGGATTAGATATCTTGATTTTTTGTATGATGTTATATAGAGATATGTAGTTACTGGTTATGTGATTAGACTGGTAGATATATGGGACTAGCTATGATTGTGGTTTATTGATTGATAATGTTTATATATATATATATATATATATATATATATATATATATATATATATATATATATATATATATTAAAGCTCCCTAGCTTAGCTTGCCTCTAGGTTTTTTCCATAATTTTTTAGCCACTTTATATTTTTTGGAAAACCTTTATATTTTTTGATAAAAAAAAACATAAAAACAAGTCCTGGGGCGAAGCCTCGGCTTTCCTCCTAGTATTATAAAAAAAACCAAGGTTGTAAAACGTTAGCTAGTCGGTGGACTGGAGTTAAGGGATTAATCGGCTAGACATAGATTAATCGGAGGATTAATCGGGGACTATTAATTGTTAATTCGTTGAATTTTCAAAAATTAGATATGACTAATATCATAACAAAGATTATAAATATCACTAATATTATAATAAAATAAGTTAATATGATTAATACAACACTAATCAATCTTCAAATGGTTCTTATTAAGATATGACTTCTTCAAAATGTTAAATTTTCATTGTTTTCTACTGTTTCATTCATTTTGTAGGTATGGATTAATCGATATGCGTTCTCTAATCAGTTGGGTAGTGCCTAGGGATTAATTAGGACCTAGTCGAGATTTTTACAACAGTGTAAAAAACACAAACATATTTTTTAAGCATTTGAAATCAATCAAGCTTATTTATAACAAAAGAAATAATCATATTCAAAGAAGCAACGTGTTATTAATCTCAAGTTCACTAGAAAACTTTAACAAACCATAATAAACGTACCAAACTATCTTAACTTTTTAACATAAACAAGATGTGCTAACAATTTCAAAATACTAAACGAATTACCCTTCTTCCTTCTTGGGTTCATTACCATTTTCCTCGACACTAATGCACTTGTACTTCCTCGCACAATAAACATAGAGCACCAAATCAAATACAGTCAAGATCGCAATAAGGAAATAAAACCGATCCATATGACCATCATTTAAATCCTCCGGAATCCACCCAACTTTATCACCCCTCGCAGTAATACTCATCACCATATGCACCAAAAGGCTACTAACGTAATTTCCAAGCGAAATCGAAGCCATACAAAGTGAACTTCCAAAACTTTTGATCCCATCAGGAGCTTGGCTGTTAAAAAATTCCAATTGTCCAACATACATAAAGACCTCAGAAGCACCAACAAGCACGTATTGTGGCACTTGCCAAAATATGCTCATCGAGCTCGTATGTTCCTCGGGAATTGACCGTTTTAGCCTTTCCACCTCCGTGACTCCGGCCGCAATCATTGCTAAAAGACCAATGATCAACCCTATTCCCATTCGTTGTAGCTCGGTTAGACCTTTAGGGTTTCCACTTAGTCTCCCGACTAGTGGGACTAATACTGTTCGGTAGATCAGCGTGCATATCAGCACGCTGACAATGTCGAAAATCGACATGCTGGCAGCTGGAAAATGGAATTTTCCAATATAGGAATTCATGGCCGCGCCTTGCTCGACAAATAGAGACGCCATTTGAGTGAAAATTACGGAGTATATAATCGTACATAGCCAAATTGGTAACATTCTTATAACGCATTTTGCTTCTTCGACTTGTGTCACCGTACATAATCTCCAATCATTTTGTGGCCCCATTAAATCGTTCTCTGTTATCACCGCGGCCTTATCTAGACATCTAAAATATTAACACCAAAAGGTTATGCTAAAAATATATAAAACCATAGATGCTTATAACGCGAAATGTAAATCACAACTAGTGTACAGGCATATCCAAATTCGTTTTTACTAGAAACTCGACATTTTTTGAGAGGAAATGCAATGGGATTAAGAGCTTTTTAATAAAGTTTATCTTTTTAATAATCTTGACTTACTTGAACTCCTCGCTATGGAGAATCTTTCGACTCCCTTTGATAGCCGATTCCAACCCATCAACCTCATACAATTGCTTCTCATCATCAACACGAACTTTCCACTTCCTACAAGCTGCTACAAATACTTGACCAACACGTGGCAAAGGATTTCCCGAAGCCTGAACATACCGATAATGAAACGAACCACAGAAAAACAATAACAATGCCACCACCGAAGCTGACATAGACACCCAAAAACCAGTTGTCCAATGACCAATATCTTCATAGTACACCAGAATAGAGTTCGAAAACAATGATCCGATGTTGAGCGCAGCATAGAAGTAAGCAAAGAAAGCACCTTTCGTGCCTTTTTCTTTATGTTTTGGGTCTGATTCATCGAACTGATCCGAACCAAGGGTGGCTAATGTTGGCTGGTGCCCACCATATCCTAATGCAACCATGTAAATCGATAAGTAAAACATCATCGTTCCTTTAGTTGAAGTTGGAAAACAATGGTTCACTCCATCTCCACATCCGGAAGGTATCACTAGAAATAGCCATGATGTTAAGGATAATAGCACCAATCCCTACACAACACGATTTGTTAATAATATCATGTTAGAAACTGTTATTGTATAATTACTTTACCATAATCAACAAGAGGTTTTAGAGTATTTTTTATGATCTTTTATTATGTGATTATACCATGACTAAGATGAATTGAAAGATTGCACAAGTGAGATAGCGACCCCAGTAAGAGTCACTTAGGAAAGCTCCGAGAAGGGAACAAAGATAAACAGTGCCTGTCCATTTGCTAACGCTATTTGCTGCATCTGCATTGCCTTGACCGATGACTCTGGTCAAGAACAAGACCATGTTGACTCCAACTCCGAAGAATGCAAATGTTGCAAGGGCTTGATTTGCTGAAAAAAGAGCAAACGATTGGAAGAAACTTGAATTGATTAGAGATGAAAATATTGAATCAGTTTACTCACGAGTAATATGGCTAAATAATGGTTATATTTTCTAAGCAATGGATCAAATATGCAATTTAGAAAACTTGATAGAAAGTCATAAAAAGTGTACTCATATGTTTATAACCTTATTTATTATATTGTTTTATTTATCTATTGTACACTTTTTTGGCATTTCATAGGTAATAAAAATTGTTCCTTTTGGATGCATGAGAGAATATTTACCAAGAAGGAGAAACGCTGGAGCCCAACCTCCTCTTTTTCGTTTTGGTTTGGGTTGTTGATGAATCGGTGCTCGTTCATCATGCTATTGTCATAAGTACAAGAAAACAAAAGTTATTAGTATAGTGTATAGACAGTAATAAATTCAGAAAATATATGAAAACACGCAAAATCTAATTGAGGATATAACTTGAACACCTTTATTAATTACAAAAACTGAAAGAGATAAGGGTATCTGCTAACCTGTTAAACTGAAATTGAAATAAAATAAAATTCTTACAATTATGGAGATCTCCAAGGGGACATTGTTTGAAGCCATTGCAACTTCTCAAAGATTCCTCTAAAAAATTCAGTTGCACGAAACTTGTTAGCATCTTTAGGCATAAAAAATCATAACTAAAGAAGCCTTTTGTGTCACAATTAGAATATCAAGTATCATGAATAATTTTTATCAAGTATTTTAAGAGTTAATGTCATTTGTCGGGATGTTTAAGGTTTGTTTAAATAATGTGGTTTAGTTGGGTAAAAAGCATACGGTATGTTACCATTTAACATCATTGTTGCTTTCAATTACAATAAGAAGAGACCATCACGTAAGAATATATTTTTAGCTATACCCACATGCTTTTGGTTCAAGTAATTAATTGAACTTTGTTCCAATAAATTAAAGATGCATCATAAAATTTAAATATAATTAGGAAAACAAAGGCTAGATGAACAAATTTTAATCATTATTTCATCTTCCATATTACAACATTGTAATGTAAATAATTATAATTCTTTGCACTTGTGGAAAATCTATCTAAATCTACCAATATAATTATGGTTTTGTAATTTCAGTTTACACGACTATCCCTGACTGAATGGTAGCATGTCAAAATCAAATAATGCTGTTTGGTAATATGTAGTAAAAATGTTTTGTATATGGTAACTAATTAAGCCAAAAATATTTTGTAGTAAAACAAAAAGAAATAAGAGAAGGCCATAATATACAAAGCAATGAATGTACATTATTGTTTATTACATTATATTCTAAAAAGTAAAAACAATAATTTATAAATACAAAAATTAAACCTCTTGTATAGCTTTGAGATGGAGAGGATGACAGGTTCACGGGGTGTATATTCCGGCGAGGGTGAGGAGGTTGTGTCGGTAAAAACCGGTGGAGCCACCAGTAGTGCCGGCAAGATTACGACTTGACCTCGACTTGCAGGAAATCTATAAAAACTTGTTGTCATTTACGTTAAAAGAACAATTAGTGATGTAGATCGTACTAGACGAGCACAATCTTTTTTCCTTCGAAAGACAAAATCCAAGAAACCTAATATGAGAAACAAACAAAAACCCAGTAATCTGGAAACAAGAAAGATGGTACTCCAAGCTTCTTTTTGCCAAAAAGATTAGTTATGAATGTAGATACCCTAATTGGGGATATGGAGATCGAGAGGTAGATGGGGAGTGTGATGTATTGTATGAATATAAGGCTATAAGCAAGGGGATTAGAAGTCTTAAACAAGATTAGAGATTGCGTAACAAACTGCTGATAGAACTCCAAAAACATCTCAAACTTCAACTAATCTTTTTTGTGCGTGTTCTTTTACCAAAATATTTACAACTTATTATTACTTTTTGAACTCTTTTACGACCCAGCTGGATTACACATACAAATTTAAATTTCATCTCCAATTATTTTATTTTATTTTTAAATAAATAAGGTTTTCTTTTCCAATCGTCACATTTTTTTTATTGATATATATAATTAAGGCTTTGTCTAACTACTTAGATGAAAAACTATTTGTTAGCTTATTAATTTATCAATAAGTTACTCATGTTTTTTCATTAATTAGAATAACAAGATTTTGGAAAAATAATTTCAACATATGTTTGAACATTTTTGTTTTTCTTATTGCTAATATATTAAAAAGATTGTTGATTAATACCATTAAAATCCTACTTAAACTAGACAATAATCATAGAAAATTTTCATCTAATTCCCACATCACAATTTATATTTCCTATGTTTAATCCATTTCATTTGACAACCACTTAAACCGGAGGACACCTCACCACTCGTTTTTTCGTTTTTTCTATGACATATCAGTTTTCCATTTACTCACAAACTCAACAAAATCTAAGAAATTGTATCTTTCACTTCTCATTTTTTATTTTGTTAATATTTTATATAAAATTATATTTTATTTGTAGAGAATTAAAAACAATAATTTTTAATATATATTTTTTTATAAATGTTTAATATATATATATATATATATATATATATATATATATATATATATATATATATATATATATATATATATATATATATATATATATATATATTAAAAACTAAAAACAATAAAGAAAATACAAAAAATAGAGTTCCTCAATCACACAAGGAGAGAGAGGGTGGGGTACTCTCCCTTCACCATTTCTCCGCACCGCCTAAATCGCACCCAAGAGTGGTGTTCCATTTCCCTTCACCTTACCCACTCCACTCATTTGGTCCTCCCGTGACAACAAGCTACATATCTTGCATAAAATTTGTTAATAAAGACATATTTATTAAATATATTTGATGATCATTATTACTTCCAATCTATTATTTATTTGATTGGCCTATGACCTTCCTTTTTAGTTAAAACTATTCGTTATTTTAATTGATACGTTGTTGTTACTCGATTAAAACATAACATGTGTAAGTCATTCCAAACTCTAGTTGTTTTGCCATTTTGATTCATTTGATTATAACTAGTGACAAACTCAAGGATATCGTTCCCTATAGAGCCATAAGATTTGCCAAATTGGTATCATAACTTCCAACGAGATCACTTCCATTGCCAAACGTGTAGTTGATTGAATTGGAGAGCTTCTTTTCAAGGAAAAGTTAAGTGAATCAGTAAAAAAAAGAGCTCACCTCCAAAAAAGAAGCCAAACAAGAACTTTCATTACAACATCTTTTTGTCGGATGTTGACACACATAGTTCCTGATATAAGTTGAATGAATTTGACGTGCACGTGTGTTTGGTCAAGCTAAGAGTCATGAATAAGCTTCTTTTCTATATAAATATTGTTAAAGTTGTTGAGCAACCAAAACTGGTTGAAAATCTTGTCATGCTTGGGTTAGGTCTGAGTGTTAAAATTTATAGATAGATATCGTTTAATTAAAAGTCACACGGATATATGTTTTGTCCCAAGAAAATGGTAAATGGAAAATTAGGTTTCTGTTCAATGTGCCAAATGTGAGATTTTTTTTTGGGAGATAATCATCAAACACTAAAAAGTATTACAAAAATATAAGAGCAAAATATTAAGGAAATATTGGAGTAATCTAACCACTTTATAATGATATTTTAAAATTAATAACCAGTTTTTCTTTTGAAAAATGAATGCAAGATCCGGAACGGTCATTCCGGACTCGTATTTAGTAAATTGTAACGGTTATAGGTAGGGATGAGCAGTTTTTCCCAAATCTCGATCTCGTACCGGTACCGAAACGTACCGAATGTAAAAATATGGGACGGTACTTAGTACTTCAAATACACGAAATTCGGGAATCGGTACCGTCGGTACCGGTACTAGTATTGAAAACCGGTATCATTCCCGGTACCGGTACCGGTGATGTTAATTAGGTTTGGTACTCATGATTGAATTCGATCGAATTCGGTTTTCGGGAAATCGGGAACGTTACGGGTCGGTACCGGTTCCGTCCCACGCTCATCCCTAGTTATAGGATCCGACCCGGTTTTGTGGTCCCCCTATAAATATCGTTTCGAAGTTCATTTCAACATCACTTGTGTTCGAACCTATATTTCGGAGACCATTTCGAACTCAGTAATTTCAGACTACCAATCCAACCGCAAATGTCATCTTCTAGCAGTGAAGAGTATCATTTTTTATATGTAAGTATATAATTATATGTCTTTACTTTAGGTTGTATGTTAAAACCTACATAATTTATGTAATTATATAGGTTTTATTTGTTTTTCTGTGACTTTTAGTGGTTTAAAGGCAATTATAGAATTACATTTAGTTATATATGTATGCTACATCAAAAAAAAATCTTACAAATATCCTCATTTTGACTAATCCGGAATCCATGTAACACGTCCGGAATACGAGGAACAGTTCCGGAAGATAGATCCAGAATGTTTTAATCCGGAATCCTGATCCATAATGTTTTCATCCGGAATCCTTATCCGGAAATGGGATTCGGAATTTTGATCTGGAATTGTGTATTCTGGAATGTCCTCCAGAACATACATACAAAAATGTCTAATTAATGATTCTTTTGAATTGTGTAGCATGACGGAACATACGAAGCGGTTGTCACTATAACCTGCAGGCCTAAACTTGGGCGGGAAATCTTGGCTCGTTTACAAAAGTGAGCAATTTGTGCGACCATGTTTAGGAAATCATGTTTTGGTGATTATGTGAACATGTCGATGGGTGTGGAATGTCACACTTTACTCTGTCACTATTATGGATGAGCATAGGCGAGTACCTGCCTCATTTGGCAAGAACCGGAACCGGAACCGGTGGTTCCTAGAATGTTAGAACCAGAACCGAAACCGGTCTAAGTAGTTCTTAAATTTTTGGAACCAGTCTCGGAACCGGCGGTTCCGGTTCCAAGAGTGGTTAACCCGGTTACATCAACATTATTAATTTTTTTCATCAAAACCGCAATTTAGTTCGTCGACATCGAATCAATTCGAACCAAAGACGGACAAAATCGGACAAATATATTCTAAATCGATCTAAGTAACATACACATATTCATACTATATATATATATATATATATATATATATATATATATATATATATATATATATAAATATATATAACCGGAACCGCTTAAGGCGGTTCTTGTTCCGGAACCGGCAGTTCCAAGGCGGTTTCGGTTCCGAAAGCGGGTACCCGATTCCGATGCTCATCCCTAGTCACTATCTTATGTGCAAGGAGTATACTACTTTGCCTCCGGTTGACCTACAAGAGCTTCTATTTCCGGTACACAACTAGCGGGCTTTCTTCAATAAGAAAGCATTTTGTTTGATTATCGACTTGTAGTTCAGGAAGTATCCCCCCCCCCCCTCGGTTCTGATTTTGCACAGTTCAGACAACGTGTATTTCCATTTTTTGCCGCTTTCATGTTCGGTGAGAATGGTTGACCTTATGCACATGTTCAATGACATACTTCATCAGTTAGGTGAAGCAGACATGGTGAAAGTCTCCCTGATGTATATGCTAGAGCCTGGATTTTTAGGAAAATACCCTCGACAGCCAGTTACTAATGAACTTCTTGCAATCGTCTCTATATTAGAAAAGTTTAATAGGTGTATAGTTAGTTACATATATTATATCAAATGATACATATACTTATTAAGTGTAATTGTTGACACATGTGCCTATGGGGCAGAGTGATATGGGATTTCACATACAAACAACTATGTATTGTCTTTGACAAGATTAAGGGGCATTTTATAGGGTCGAAGATATTGTGATATATCGAAGTCTTAGGTAGTAGTCAATGTATTATTTAGTTGTCCATTTCGAAGATTTCACAACTTCGATATTATATGTATTTATCATGCACGTATGTTTGTAACTCTTTTATTGTCGAAGTCCTAATATACTTTTTGTATTTGTGAGTACTATAAATAGTATTGAGTCTAGGTTGTGAGAGATACTTTTTGACGAACTCCATTGTAACTTTCTCTCTCTCTCTCTCATTGTAACCTTGATATCCAGATAATTAGAGTTGAAACCAAATCTTATTTACTTGATCTTGTTCATTTACATTCATATTACACGATTGATTTCTCAACTCTTCAACTCGTATCAGAGCAAGAACCATCAAATTGTTTGAGGAACTTCTTTCTCGTTTTCAACTATTGATTCATACTTTTTTATTCAACTTTTTCCTCATTTGAAAACGTATTTATTCGAGCGATTTTTGAGACTTGTAGATTCTACAATCGAGAATCGATCATTTGAATCTGATTTCATTCTTTTTCAAGCTTTTCTTCTTTTCCAATCAATTCGATGGAAAATTTGAATGTGAATACGATGATGGACTACACAAACCTTCTAGGTTCATCTACAAAAATCCCAATGTTACTTCTTGAGTATTATGACCAGTGGTCGGATCAAATGGAGGATTATCTAAAGGGTACCGACGAAGATCTATGGCGTTCGATTGATAAAGGTCCATATCGAGTTGCTCGTGTTCAAGCAATGGGAATAGCAGCGCAAAGTAAAGATATGACAACAACTCGTTTAAAGAAAGAAGCTAGCGATAAAAGGTGTATTCGTGAATTATGTTGAGCCTTACCACTTGTCACACCCCCGAACCAGACGGCGAAAACGTTCGGGAGCTATTGTGACTCAATTGAATACCATCACAATGAATATACATGAAACATAACATCATTCGTCACCAACATTCGAA